TAGCTACTCCTTCACTGATTCCTTGAAATAATGCTGTAATTGGCTTTATAATTTTTGGTGGCACTTTGCTGTTTGTTCCTTTAATGCAGAGACCTGTATTTAAAGTCCAGTACATGACCCAACCTCTAGTGAAGATGTGTGCATGTGTTTACTTATGTGCATGTCACAGGACTTAGGTTTTTGTAAGACTCCCTTCTAATCAGGAGAAAAAGTATAGTTTAATGCCGTTAACTATGTTTTGGAAATCTTTACATATAAACATGTGTACAAGATAGTTTCAGTATTTTTTTAAAATTTGTGGGGCCTGAACACACATAGAAAGCTATATATATACACATACAGAGAGAAAGAAAAACTATGGCCATACTATTTTTCTCTACTTTTTATGCTCTGACTGTCCCATTGCTTACTGCAGCTTCCAGCCTCTTAAAATGACACCGGTTTTACAGTGCCGAAGATTAATCCTCAGTCTCAGAAAAATGCTTTGGAATTTGTGAATGCGAATTTAGGAATTCCTCTGTGCTAATGCAGAAACTTACTCTTCATGTTTGACAGCTTGTTTCTGCCCTTCTTTTAGTCCTCTGTGGTGTTGACAACAACTATTGCCTGTGCCATGTGGTAAACTGGATCAGTCAACTGATTCAGGTTAAAAATAATGTTGTTTGTTTTGAAGTTTTACCACTCTATCTGTTAAGCAGTTATTCCAGAACAAATAGTAGGATGTAGCAGTGGTGGGAATGAACAGCATGAAAATGTGAGGTAGGGACACTTAAGTTGGCATTTCTTTCAAGAAATTTTTTCTTTGAAATAGTGCCGTAGGTTCCTTCCCTGCCACAGAAAGAGACTGAAGAATTAGTGTCCCTTAATATTGTCAATAAGAGGGAGGTTGAAGATATTTGCCTGAGGGAGACTGGAACTTATGCTTCACATTCCGTAGGAGAGTAGCCTGATCATAAACCTGCAGGTTTCTTGAGGAAGAGGCAGGAAGAGCACTATGAGTCTCTCTTACTTAAAGTTTTACACATTTTTGCAATCATTGTAAGTTGGAAGAGTGGGAATAAAATTTTCCTTGGAACAAGGAAAAGATGGTTCCGAATAAGATAGTTTTGGCAGTATGAAGGAACAGTTAAGGCTGTCATGCATTGCATAATTTTTGTAAAGTAATTAATTATTTTCTTGGTCAAGTTGGCACTGAAACTTACATCTTTCCTCTTCTCAGTTACTGTTTTATATGAAAAATATTGTTAGGCAACCTCTGCAGTCTCCCTGCTTGGAAGGGGGAATCAAGGTACGTAATTACAGAAAAGGATTCAAGGCTCTAAATTTTAAATTCAAGATGTCTTCCTGCAGCTCATAGTGAGTAATAAAATTAGACAGAGGTGCATGGGAGAAAGTGTATCTTTTGCTTTTGTACTTTCTATTACTTCATGAAAGCAGCTGTTTGGTTTGTTTTCCTTTGTGGATACCTTTCATATATACCATATAATCCTTTGTATTTCATCAGAAATCTAGATGACTCCAATATCGCAAGTTTCAGTAGACAGCTCAAAGCTTGGCAGTCTACAAGTCCCATTTCTAGTTTTAGTATCTCGCATCTTATTTTGTAAAAAAGGGATAAAGGAACTTCCCTACCTCACAGAATTATGAATGCTCTTATAGTACAAACCACTTAAGCTTATTTTCCAGTTATAACAATCAGCAACTGTCCAAAAGCCTACTTCTTTGAGAAGCCAGTGGTTTGCAGCCTGTCTTGCAATCAGATATACAGATCCTGTGATACTGGTTTCTTTTCAGAAAAGTATTTTAACACATGCAGTTGGGTGCAAGTAGCTTCTTTGTTACAACTAATTTATTATTGGAGTAATCTATGTATTTGTCAATCTGTAGAAAAAATGTACTATACTAGTATCCTAGATGTGTATCTTAAAGTAAATATAGGTGTTAGAATTAGTAACAATAAAAATTAACACTGTTCTTAGGAGATGACTGAAGAAGATGCTGGTATTGTCAACTGTGAGGGCATTTGAATGATTCTTCCGTCAATTCAACACTATGCTTTTGTTTACTCACATTCAGAGTAAGGTACAAGTTTGGTACAACTTGGTTAAATTACAATTTTATATTATATGCCTAAGTTAGGTTATGAAAGCAACATAGCTTATTTCAGGATTTAAGTTGAAATCCTCAAGCAGTAGTTCTGTTTGCAGTGGTTCTTTCAGATTTTTGCATGTGAAACTTCTGTTAGTTCTCCAGTTTTCAGAACTTCAATTACAGAATAATTCAATTACAGAATAAATAATATATTAAACTATATAATAATAATGTAATAAAACCTCTGATTTTGGAAACAATTTCCAAGATCACTTTCTAGTAGTGACAAGTTTGTTTTATATTTTGTTCTTAAAAATATAATGACATCCTCTAACGCAATGATTGAATTTATCAGTACATGTTTAAGCACTTCAAAATATGCATGCCTAAGCTGCTTGATGATTCTGAACTGGTTACTCATAACACAGCAAGGAAATAAGTGTTAGGTCCAAAGTTAAGAGAACATGCAGCAAAATTACTTGTATCTTTATGAAGTTCTATGCACCTAGTTTAAATCACTGAAGCAGTGGTTCCTGAGTCCATCATTATTGTGTCTGGTGGTGAGCCTAATAGACCATCAGCAGGTGGCTTGAGCTGGCACAGAAAATAGAAGTGCCTCCTTTGCTTAGATTACAGTTTTGAAGCTTTCATGCTGTAATATCTGTCCAGGTTTCAGGAGCTTGAAATTATATTGGACATACTCTTCTGAGTTTGACCTCTTCAGGAGCAAAGTTGTACCTTTTTTGTCTGTCTTAACCTGATTATGTGAAATTTTACCTCTTAATTATCTGCAGCCAAAATCTGATTAAGGGGTGTAATTTCAATAATACAATAGCATTTCATGTGAATTGGAGGAAAGCAGAGGAGGGACTCTTAAATGTCTTTGTCTTGGGAGAAATTGCAGTGTCTCCTTGCAGTAGAAAATACGAGTAGGTGGAGCTGGGAAAAGAAAAGTTCAAAGAAATTTCTACTGAACCGGGAGTCAACTATTTGTTCCAAAACCACTTAGTATTTCAGAGAGTCTCTTTATTTCACAAGGTATTGCAGTCAGGATACAAAGATAATAATTTCTGTTGCAGAAGCAGACTATTTTGTGTGTGTCAGTGCAATCCTGGCCACACAGTCCCTACGTTTTGTACTAATGGATTGCTCTTGTCACTTTTCAGTGATAGATGAAGGTTCTTCAAAATGTATTACCTTTCTCTTGTAATTCTGTTGTAAAGGCTCTTGAGCATGATAGCAAATATTTTGCTAGTTCATCATAAATGGATACCTGAGGTTATGAAAGCAAAAAATTATGGACATGTGTGTAGTAGAAAGCCTGTTATTCAATTCATGCTATATGCTCAAGAGAATGAGGAGACATGGGATGCCATTCAAATTTTATTCTTCAGTTATTGTATACTTAAGCCATCTTCCCCCTCAGTGAAAAGAGGGGGAAGCCATTTTTGTGGGAAAATAAAGAGCGTATAAGTTACAGAAGAAACCTGTTTCATTTTCTATCTTGGTCCTTTATGAATAATAGAGAAAATGTTTATTAACATTTAAAAAAAGGGGGTTTTCTCCTCAAGCTTACTTTTTTGTGTTATTGTTTGTTTTGATTTTTTTTTCTTTCTTTAAAATAGCGTTGGCTTTTTTGTTGCATGTTCATATTAAGCCATATGTTAAAATAGGGCTTAGTAGACTTCCCAGATCTGTATCTGGGTAAACCGGAGAGTTACACAAAGATGCACAAAGCTCTGACTGCATTTGGTTAATAGAAGCACTAGCCAGTGTTAGTGCTAGCCAGTGTGACATTTTTGTCACGTTTGGAATAAGTAGCATGTTGTATTACTTATTATTTCATACAGCTGTGATGTCTGTCTGCTACTTACTTTCATATGCTGCGTGGGATAATGTACGTGTGGTTCAGACACATCAGAAGCTTTAGTTTTAGTGAATAAGAAGCCCCCAGTTCTGCAGCATTTAATGTCATCAAAATTAATTCCAATGGCTAACTGCATCTGCAAACAGTACCTGGAATAAAATTTCAAGGTAAGACCAGGGGAAAAAGTTTTTTGAGGTCTTGCCCTTGCTGTGTAAGTGATGTTTATACGTAGTTTCATTTTGGTTATTCATAGGGGAAAAAGACCTTTTAAAATTGTAAAATTGAAGTTAAATATATATTTTTATCTTGACTATCTGTTTTGTTTTTATTGCATATCGGAGCAAGTACAGTGAATCAGACTATCTTACAACAGAATAATACAGCTGTAAACTGAAATGTGGAATAAAACTCCAGGGAGCTTTTTGGTCATAAGATTGTGGTGACATGGAGGTTTGGAACAGACTCAAGGTTAAAGATGTGGAGAGACGAATGGACATAGCAAGGGGAGAGGAAGATGTCCAGTTTGAACATTTAATGAGCATAAGTTTAAAAACAAGACTCCAGGCAGCAGTGATTGTTCGTCTGATCTTGCAGACAGCCTGAAGCAGTAATTTGGGAGAAGTAGATGTTTCATATAGCTAAGTGTATAGTTCATTTAAAACCCATTCCCTTTAACTCTGTCTGCGCTGTTCAAGTAACGATTGTATGGATCATAAGCAGCCAAATCTTACATATTCACTGTGACTGAAAACGTCTTCAGTGGTTATTTTTTATAGTCACATGTCCTTTGATGATCACCTGGTGTCTGGCTCTTGTGAAGGAAGACCCTCTTTCCCCATCAGTTTTGCATGCTTTGAGGGAGAGAGAAGGAAATTTCTGACAAGTAGGATTGCTTGAGCCCTTTTGCAGTACTTTATGTAGGATCTTAGCTAACCCATCTCTGCTTGCTTCTGTCCTGTAAGAGCTGACAGGACAACAACATGCCATCTTATTCATGACTGTTGTGTTATTCATGGATACACACCTTTATTACGAGGTCAGAATGGCTCTGGTGAACCAGAATGGTGTTACGGATTTCCTGCTTTTGGCTTCAGTGTTTGGCATTGTGGGAAGTAGGGTGAAGGAACACTCCCTGGTTCCCTTAAAATGGAAACAGGAAGCTTTGGAAAGCCCCCATGGAGGAACGAAGATGTTGGATGAAATAAAGCATTAGAACAGTAGGATGTTGCTGTCACAGGGAAGTATTCTTTCACAGATTAGAGAAATGAAAAAGTGAAAAATTCGATGTATCATTTAGTTTAGCCTTCTTCTGATGCACATCATCTCTCCTAGTGAGCTAAGATCAAGATCATTCTTGTTCTTAAAGTTGTATGGGATTCCCATAATGTTTCTTAAATTTCAAGTACTTTCGGTATTGGTCTAGGTGAGGAAGAGGATGGGTAGAAAGATGTGAAAGTAAGAGGAGCAGAAGGGGAAAAGCGTTTGTGAGAGCTGAAGTTTGAAAATGGGAGCAAGGGAGAGAGAGGTGTGTTGTTCTGGAAATGGCTGTTTTTCTAATGTAATTATTGAAAAGTAAGTAGAGCAGGCATTATGACAGAAAAATGTTCCTGATGAGGCTTCTTAAATTGCTGTTCATTATTGGACATGTAACTTGGAGTAACTTATTTTAATTAGATTTGCTTCCTTCACTTTTGGAATTAGAAACCCAAAGAGGGAGCAATGACAGCCTTTTCAGCAAGACAAGGTTTAATATAGACAAGCAGACAGATGTCTAAGGTATGTTTGTATTGAAAGATAACTAGTAAATAAGCGATGTGCTTGCTTCTGCACTAGAACAGCTAAAAGCTCTTCTTACCAGGTCTGGCAACTAGTCATTGTGGGCTCAGAACTACACGTCACTTACCTAAAGTTTGCCATATCTTTTAAAAAAAAGCATTTTTACACGCTAGAATAACTTTTTCCCTAAATCTACTGATCTGAGAACCTAATAATCTTCTCTTTACTTTGAAGATTTGAGAAGGAGTGGAGATATGAATAAAAACCCCAAACCCCAAACAAACAAACAAATAAAACCCACCAAAAAACCTTGGAGGGTATAGGCAAAGTTTGTTTGCACTAGTATCCTAAAACAGAAGGGCATAATACTTTCCTTCAGGGACTAAACAATTTAAAATAGGTTCTAACACTGTGTTTGAAAATGACACTTTGTTTTCAAAATGACACTTTGTTTTCAAAACAAAACCCCAAACTTTTTTTTTATGGAAAAGGCTTTCATGTTGGTATTTTCTAATACCGAATTCTTGGCATCTCAAAGTTTGAGAAATGCATTTGTAGAACTTGTTAGAATGATTTCAACCACTTTTTTTTTTTCCCCCAAATAAATAAATAGATAGATGATGAAATGTCATATAGATACATGGAGAAGGGGAATTCAAATGCCAGCTGTCAATAGATAAAATTTCAAATCTGTTAACAAAATAATAACACTGGCTTTAGTGGTGGTGGTTTAATAAATACTGTTACGCAGGTTTAACGCATGCTGGAAGAATCCTACTTTTTGGGTTACAGAAGTGACCTTGATGTTGCCTTAATATAAGTTTGAGCATTAAGTCATTAATTAATGACTTAATTAACCTTGTTATTCCATTATACACCTCAGCTTGGCGGAATATTTATATATGATCGCAAAGCCCAGGAGACAATTGGATTGTGTTGTGTTTCTGACTGATAGGAGCTGTCAACTTTCAAAGCTGTTCTTAACAAAACTATGCACTATCAAAATGCACCACTAAGATTCAGAAGTAGTGAAGTTCAAAAACCCAGACTAACTTGAGAGTTTAATTGATACCACCTTCCTCAATAACATGCTGCTTTGGCCTTTCACTCACAGCTACACACAAGCAAAATCAATATCTGATATTTCTTTTTGGGGGGAAGGAATGCAAATCAATTCAACAGTAGGAATTACTAGACCTTCTATAGGTCTTAGTGTATTAGACCAATGTAATAGGTCTTCCCTGGGGTACTGTGGGAATTCTTGCCTATTGTTAAGTGCATGTTGATGAGTAGGAAGGATGGAAACAGTAATTACAGTTAATATGGTTGGTATTTTTAACTTTTATCTGCATTCTCAATTTTTGATGTTGTTTTTGCTGACATCTTCATATAACTTATTCTATGGACAAATCATCTACTTGGTTGGAGATGAAATTATTACCATACTTTGTGACTGTTTCTGCCAATTTTATTTTTTTTCAAAGGAATTTGTGAACTTTAAGCATGCTTGAAAACAGTGTTAGGCATAAGGTAAATTTCTGAAGGTAGAAAGGCAATGTTATTACTTAGTTCTGTCTGGGACTAGCACATGGTCTTGTTCATAGTTCCTATGCTTTATGTGGTTCTGTGTGATGCAGGAAAATATCTGTTCTTAAACTTGTGCATTTTTGGTTCCTTCAGAATAAATCATGTCTGTTCGTATTGGGGTTTTTTTTGTTACTATAGGGCCTGAAATGAAATTTTTAGTATTTTGAGAAAAACTAGAAATTAAAGATATACCACCCCACTGGGCAGGTATTGATTTTTCTGCTGATGGCCAAATTGTAATAGTGAAATTGTCTGTTGTAAGAGATTGAAATGCTGAGAGGCTTACTTATGTGGTTAGCAGGGAGGCTTGAACCTACTCAGAAATAGTTTAAATAAAACCCAAGTTTAAAAAAATCTTCTAACAGTTTCAGTAAACTTGTGTAATCCTTAAGAGCTTATTGTTTTATACATTTTATCCATGTACATGGTTTTGTTCTCATGACAATACAGTGGATTTTGATAAGCTTTTTAAATTCTTTTGTAAGAATTTGGTTCTGTGTGTGTTACAAAGTATACCTCCAAACTGTCTTAAGATCACATCCTTTATTGTTTCTAATAAAAGATACCGTTAAACTAGCAGGAGGTAAGCTGAACAGTTAACATTACCTTCTTTATAATGCATATTTCCATATTTCCTAAGAAATGAATGTCATATTTCTGTCTGAGTTTCAATGCACAATTGTTCCCTCCTGGGTATGTTCAGGTACCATTTTGTTAACAAGCCACTTTCTAGCTGCAGTAATTTCTGTCTGTCTTGATCTTCCCTTGACCTGTGACTGATGTTGAGGAAGTAAACTAAGTTTTGACTCAACTAGACAGACTGTAGGCAGCTCCAGAATGTGTGTGGGCAAACAATTCTTGCAGCTGCTTATTCTTGGAGTGTTAACATGGAAGATTTCATAAACAGCTTCTATTCATTATTTTTTAGAAATCAGACTTGATGTATTTTATATAAAATATTTGAAGACCTATCTTTTATGAAAAGACATATTCTATGTGTAAATACTTTTTCTGATGTTGTCATTTGCTATGAGTCTAATGTTCTTATAAATGTTAGTGACGCTATTTGTATTACAGTCCAAACCAAAATTTTGTTGCAGAGGATATCTGTTTAAATCTTTTCTATATATTTCAGTAGTTTTAAGTAGAGATTTTTATGAGTATTGTATCTGATGTCAATAATGTTCAGAAGTACCATCTTTCATTATAAAACCAGATAGGTATTTTGTGGCTATATAAAGACCCAGGAATAAACAAATGGCTTACTACTATCAGTAGAACCACTGTATTTTAAATGAAAGAAAAAACCCACAGAGCTCTTCATGCGATAGCTTTGCAATGTTCTGTCATGTATTCAAGGAGTGTTTGTATGTGCTGTGTAAGTTATCTGAAGGGAAATTCTGCAGCAGTGATGTTCTGTCATATGTCACTGTCGATTTTGCCTACCAGAGAAAGAGACAAATAATCTGAATTTGTTGTCTGAACTGGAATTCAAGAATAAGGTTTGCATTTGAAGCACTAGTTTTGCCTTAAGGGTTTATTCCACTTTAGAAAAGAGTGAGCAATAGCAAGGCTAGCCATTTCCTTTCAGAGAGCTAATAGCTGCTCAGATAGTAAAAATATGAAAATAGATTAGCAAACGGAAAGAATAGTGCCGGTGGAGGAGGAGAGGGTCAGTGTTTAAGTAAGAGTACAAGAGAACACACAAATAGGGTAGCCGATGAGGTTATTTTTATTCTCAAAGGCGAGTTCTCCAAAAATGCTTGTAAGGTGTGTTTACATTAATAAATAGCAGTAAATGGAAAGAAAATGAAGAAAGGTAATTGTGGAACAACAGGGCACTTAAGCCTTCTTTTAAAGTAGACTTCATTTAAGTAGCTTGGCAGTTTCATTATGTTACTCTTGTAACACACAAAAATTTATCCTTCATCCGTTTAAAGAATTGTTGTCCCAAGACTGCAGATGCTTCTACAGTACTCTCGGAAGAAAGGACCTTTTTCCACCTAAACTAGTGCCATGTAATTGTTACTTTCACTTGCCTGTAGAATAGCAGTTAAATAGCAGATAATTTTTTTAAAAATTTGTGTTGGAGACACCTGCACAGGTTGCTTACATTGCAGCCAACCTTGTTTTAAGCTGAAGACAGATATATATTCTAGAATCACACTGCTACCTACAAGAAAAAAACCTGTGTGGTTAGTATCTTTTTTTAGTAGAGGTAAGATTTAAAATTGGTCATTATAGAGAGACTACATAAAAAGTAAGTCCTGTGCTTTGGTTACAAAGTAGTGAGGCTGAAAAACAAGTACAAATGCATTGCATACACTGGAAAAAAAATGAATTTAAGAGGAATCAATGATTAGTGAAGTCTCAGGGAGCAGAAAGGGCTGGCTGCTCCTGAAGGTAAGGCCAGCTGGAAGCTGAGGGTGATCCCAGTAGGGACAGTGCCCTCCCTCACTGACTAGGGTGCAGTCCCACAGCATCTATATATGAGGAGAGCTGGGTGCAGGTAATAGGGTCCATCAACAGCCCCAGACACAGTGAAGTCATGAGCGAGGTCCAGGGTCCGTTTGGGGAGTCCAGTCTGGAGCAAAAGGAACCAGAGACGGGTTGGGAGACAAGCTGCAACATGTGTCTGAAGTCCATCCAGGCAACAGGGTCTGAACATGACTGGAGTCATACTGCAGCTTGAGTGAGGGGTCTAGCCATGCTGGGAGACAGGAGCCAGAGCCAGGGCTGGACACATGTACGCTTAATGATGTCACTCAGGCAAGGGCTGAAGACCCAGAGCTGAGCTTAAATGGAGCTGCAGGGCCACAGGCAGGGGG